GGTCACACGAGATAGTCTACTAGGCTGTATTAGTAGTAGTAGTTAGTACTATACCTCCTAGAGTGAGTTTAGCGGCCACTATATTTAACTATATCCCTTTCTATTTATTAATCTTATTTATAATATCCTTTAGAGACGCTTACTAGACTTATATAAGTACTTCTTTATCCTAGATAGCGACTCGTATACTATATACCCCGTCCGTAGATGCCCTTAGTATTTTAGCTAATATAGCTGTTCCGCTTATAGATACGGCGACCTATGCCCACGTGCTAGGGCGTTTTCCCTAGGTAAGGCCCTCCTAGATCCTCTATAGGCTGGCCTCTATACGATCTAGTCTAGATTCCGGGTCTAGTTCTAGCGTCTATTTTACTCCTACGGTAAGCTCTCTAATATTCCGGACGAGGTTCCGGAAGATACTAAGGAGGGCCGTTTCTCCCTTCTTAACTTCCCTCTCTACACGTGCTACCTAGTAGTTAATCTTATCTAGGAGGGTCTCCCCGGGCGGGGTCCCCTCCGTCTCTATTATCTATAGCGTTATATACCCTTAGTTATTCGTTATTTATTAGACGGGGGTTTAATCGTCCTAGGATATGCCGCTATATAGCCGTTTCTACTATACTAGTATTAGGGGTATACCCGGTAGAAGCCGAGGTACGTCGGTACCTAAGGCTACTATAATTATTAGTAAAGGGCTACCCGTAACTAATAAAAAGGGGGTCGGTGTATCGGCGTTTATTAGAGATAGTCTATACTCGTGTCGTTAAAGAGCCTTCGAGTGTATATATATAGCGTCTCTATACGTCGGTATCGTCGCGTATTATACGCTATATGTACGTACGTGTGTTAGAGGTTGTTATACTCGGTATACTCTATCGTTTAATGTATGTAGATCGCTATATTACCCCGAATTAACTAGTTTAGTCCGTTAGGGTGTGAGCCTCTAAGAATGAAATCTAAGAATTAGTATAGTTATAAAGTAATTCTTTAATAATTAGAATATATCTTATACTTCTAGCGTTAACTATATCTCGACCGACTTAGCTTTATACTATACTCGCCTATCTATAGGGATTTTACTACTATTCTCTATAAGTTTATTAAGCGGTACTATAATTTATAAGAAGCCTATAATAAATTTATAATAGTAGTTTATAAAACCTATAAATATTCTAATTTAATATATAGTAGTAGGTTCTAGCTATTCTATAATAGTCTTTATATACTCTAGCCCTATTTTTAGGCTACTATATATTATAATAAAGCTAAGAAATATAACTTCTTATTAGTAGAACTTATATTTAGATAACTTTATATAGAGCTTATACTATCTAAGCTAATTTAGTATTAATTTTATATATTCTTTATAATTCTATATATTATTAGAGTAAATTAGTATATTATTAAGATAAACTATATAGATTATATTAAGTAATTCTATAAGTACAGTATTAATATATTCTTAAAACGCTTCTAGTATATTTATTAGTCTAAATAGTATAATAGTATACTTAAAGCAACTATATCTAGTCTAAAAATATAGTTTTCTACTTATCTCTATAATAAATTTAAAGCTAGTAATATATATCTTATAAATCTAGCTTTATAAAGTACTTTACCTTTATTAAGTAGTCTAAAGATTTACTAACTAGTAGTAATAGATAACGATTCTTCTTAGTTATTATATTTAGTATCTAATAGTTAATATATAGATATAAACTTCTATCTTTCTTCTTTATAAAGAGAATAGATATACTAGCCGATAATATACTATACTATATCTAGTCTCTTCTAAGGTATTCTTTAATATATTTATAAAGAACTTTAAGTTCTAGTCTTAAAAGTAGGTAAAGTAGACTATAAGAGACGTCTACTCCCTCTTTAAGCTTAATCTTTAGCTTATATAGTCTATAATTAGGGAGAAGTAATATATCTCCTACTAAAAATATATCTGTATACTATAAATATATGTTAGGTAGTATATCTTTACTCTAATTATTACTATTATTCTTATCTTTATTAATAATTAATAAGAATATAAGATAGATTAGTAATAATTAGATCTATATAGTAAGGTTCTATATCTTCTTACTAATAGTTATAACTTACTAGTATAGTTTACTATAATATTATTAGAATATTAATATCTCCTTCTAAAAATCAAGGATAGAGTTTAGGCGTTTAAGCTAAGGTATCCCTAGAATTATATTCTATTAGCTAATATTAGCTATAATAAATTTATTAGATATCTACTATTTTATTATCTTTAAGTTATAAACTTTATAATTTATTATAGCTTTACCTAAAGTTCTAACTTTATATCTATTAACTATAATAGTTTAGCTAACTTTACTAAGATCGTATAATAATCTATACTTCTTTATAAGAATTAATAAAATATAGTTATCTTCTATACTAGTATCTATAAGGGTCTATATAGTTTTATTACTATTTACTATAGATAATAATACTTTTAGTAATATTAGATCTTTACTTACTAGAAGATGCTATAGCTTCTTCTAAGTATATATTATTTAGCTAAGAATATAGTTAGATCTTATATACTAGTCTACTCTTTTTTTAGATTCTTATAGTTAGATAAAATGTATTCTATTTCTCTATACTTATAGTAACGAAGTATACTATAATCCTATTGTTTTATAATAGATATTATATTTAAGTCTATATCTTATTCTTTTCCGTATTAAGAAGTACCGCCTTAATTATTTTAGTATTCTCTTAACGCGTTTTTACCCTAATTTATACTCTTCTAGCGCTAATTATAATAAGGTTACTCTTAATTAAATATATTTAATTAACCTCGTTTCTAACCTATATAGAGTTTATTAGTTTTATCTAGAGAGCCGTGTTTCTTAAGAATATAGTAGTATTTATTAGCTTTCTTCTCTAATTTATATAGATAGTTAAAACTTAATAATACTATTTCTAGTCTTTCGTAGATTAATAGAAGTAGTACTTTATAAAACTAGAATATATAAATATTTTCCTATAGTATAGGGATATTATTCTATAGGTTTTAGAGGTATTATAGTAGTTAAGTAGATATCTAGGTCGGTTATTATACTACGCTTCTTAACTTAGATAGTACCTTTCTTTTATATTCTCTATCTATTCTAAGGGTATTTAGTATAAATATAGCTAAATATTCCTAGGTTATCGTAGATAGTAGCTATACTTCCTTCTATCTATTCTATTAATTATAGCATTATAAGTCTAGGTATTATTCTCTAAATAAAATATATTATACTTTAGTAGAAAAGAGTAGAGGGTTATTAAGGAAGTACTTTTCGTAGTCTCTCTTCTAGTCTTTCTACTCCTTTTAGTTCTTCTCTATAAATATAGTTAGATCTTTAGATTTTAGTATATCTAGAGAAGAAGTAGGGTAAAATAGTAATAAAGCGGCCGGGAGTATAGTAGATTATTATAACTCTAATAGTAGGTAAACTAATTCCGCCTAAATTAGTATAGAAAGTTATCTACCTATTATTATTTAGCGTAGTTCTTTAAGAGACTCCTTAAGTTCTTATCTCTTTATAAGGAGTTTCGCGTGTTCTATCTACTCTTTAAGAGTTTAAATCTCTTAAGTCTAATTTATAATATATTCTTAAAGTTTAGTAATAGTTTATTATAATATCTTATATAGCTCTACTATAACTTATTATCTAGCTTTATATTATTAGAAGTTACTTAGCGTATATACTATTTCTTTATTAGAAAGTTCCGTAATTTAGTCTAATATCTCTACTTCTTAATTAGAAATAGCTAGAATTAATACTAATTATAGAGAATCCCTATTATTTAATATAGTATTACTTATCTCTATAGTAGATTATATTAACCTTCTTAGTTCTAGTTAGACTATCTTAACTATAGTACTATATAGATAGTAATTTAAATATAAGAATAGGGTTATTAGATAGTAGTATAGTTAGATAGAATAATAGGGTATATTCTATTATAGAATAAATTACTACTAAACCCTTTTAGTAGAAATCTAAGAGTATATATATAAAGGGACGCTAATCTATCTAGTATATAACTATTTACCGCCCTTTACGCTACCTTCTAAATCTATTAGCTAAGGTATATATAGATTAGATTATATCTAAGGCTAAGTCCTAACACTCTATTCTAGTTATCTATAGTATATCTTACTCTTAACTATTCTTTAGTTTTTAGATAGAAGTTTAGTTATTCTAGAATATACTACTATATAGCTATTTCTATTATACTAGTAGTAGAGATATATCTAGTAGAAGCTAGAGTATATTAGTATCTAAGGTCTTTATAACTATTAGTTAAGAACTATCCTTAACTAATAAAAAGAGAGTTTGAATATTAATATTTATTAGTAGTAGTCTATACTTATATCTCTAAGGAGTCTTTAAGTATATATATATATATAGTATCTTTATATATTAGTACTATTATACATTATATACTATATATATATATATATATTAGAGGTTATTATACTTAGTATACTCTCTTAATTAATATATATTAATTACTATATTACTCTAAATTAACTAGTTTTAGTCCCTTAGAGTATAAGAAGTTTTTTTAAGCTTTATTAATAAAGTATCGATTTTAATAAGATAGTAAATATAAAGTAGTAAATAATTAGATATAAAGATTAAAATTAATTATTTTAGAACTATAAAGAAAGTCTAGAGAAAGAAGTATCTATCTAATTATTCTACATACTACTTATAAATGGCTTTCGGAAAGCTAAAGTGGTCTTATGCCCGTTCATGTTAGATTTAGAGTTCGAAAAATCTAAGGAACCTACCTACTTTGTCTATGGTCGGCGGACACGATGATATATACTTCTAGAAAAAGTAGGAAAAGCGGAAGAAGTGCTTTAGGAAAACAAGCAAGATCGTACATAAACATACTTCAGACAGCCGGTCCGTATTTAAACATCGTGGTCGCCCGTATATCCACAGTGCTTCCTCCAAAGTTCTCCTGGAGGCCACTCACACTTGACTTATATATTTTTTTCGCTTCAAACTTCCTCCAGCTGGCTCTGGCGCACCCCTTCTACGTGATTTCAGGTCCTCGAGTCTACCAATGAATGCGGCTGGAGCTCCGTTCCGACGAATCGTCAATGTGACACGTTCGAGACTCTCCACATGGTCCCGCAGAAGCTCTGGCCGCGGGTATGCTTGTCTCCAAATCACATCGACGATGAAGAGTTCACTACGCTGCGGCTGGCCTCCATCAGACGTACCTATTAAAATTTGGTATAGGTTGTTCTTAGCGTTTGGACTCGCTTGGCGGATTGTATGTACCGCGCTTTCCGCATAAGCATTCCGGTTGCGGTGAGCAATGTCGTCGAGGATGCGAATCAGGGTCCCGATCCCATTGACAGCGGGCTGGACCATAGCCTGTCCGTCGACACACGCTATTAGACGTTTATCTATATCCTTGACGATACTGTCGAGTGCCAACGCAGACTGTATAGGATCCGCTTCGAAGTCATCGCCAGTAGCACCGCTCTCAACATGTCGATCAAGCTTCGCAAGAGTTTGATAGGCCCTAGCATACATTCTGTCGAAGAAAGCGTCAGCTTGAAAAGCAGGATCGATAATACGTTGGAGTCTGATCCCGAGGGTGTGGTCTTTTTCATAATGATCAATCACCATGTTCCCAAACTCCTTAAACTTTTTGATATAGTTCTGTCGAGATGGAGACGGGGACTCAGGCGGCTCGAAGACTGCAATCATGTCCTCGATGTCCGCTCTACTAGGCTTGTCTTTCAGTGCCCACTGCCTGTCTTTCACAACGTCGTCGAGGCTTTTCTGTCTGCTCTTCAATATCTTAGCTAGGGTGGCCGCCCAGATCCGCAAGCCTTCCGAGTCGAGTTTGAGAGCAGTGTGCGTTGGTGCGCCACAAGCTGCAAGCAGTTGGTCCTCGAGCCAGAAGATGTGCTATGGTTATGTTACTATTCAGAGCTCATAAGGCTGCGGGTAAGTTGTGGCGTTTCACTTACCCTGCATGCTTCGCCTGCATTTGCCATACCGCAGGTACAGCGAGGAATTTCGGAGACTGATCCAGGCTCACCGATGACAACAACATTCGCATCATTGATATGAAACCCAAGCCTATTACCCCCTCCATCATGAAGTTGGACCTGCTCGCAGTACGACATGTAAGTCTGGTCAGGCCGCGGGCTTGGGTTTAACGCCTGGGCTATTCGTGTGTATCCTTCACTACTGAGATCTGAGACGTCGTATTTGAGACCAGTGTAGTGGCTTGTGATCATTCGTCGATCCATTTCACTCTTTACTTCATCGTCAGAGTTGTCCGGGTCGCTCGAATCGTGCTCGTCGTGCTCGTCGTGCTCGTCGTGCTCATCGTGCTCATCGTGCTCATCGTGCTCATCGTGCTCATCGTGCTCATCGTGCTCATCGTGCTCATCGTGCTCATCGTGCTCATCGTGCTCATCGTGCTCATCGTGCTCGTCAGTTTCCTGGTTAGTGTCTTCAACTACGATTACCCTTGTGTCCTGACTCATGGATGATACAGGAATAGATGTCGTAATTCGTAATTCCGTAGCTCTTGCCCCCGCATGTTCGGGTTGTCGTTGAGCCTGAGATCGCGTAGTGACTGCCATATTCGCCAGCCCGCGAGTGATACCTGTTGTCAACAGGGAACTCATCAGGCTTGATGTAAACTCCTGTTGGGTATGGAAGGACATCATTAGCAGATAATCAAGATATCTATATAGTTCACACCCTTGCCACACAACAGTATGCACGTCATCTGGTTAAACCACCGCAAGGCCTTGGAGAAGTGCGCTTAGATACTTCTCACGCCGCATGAGAATTCGAATGAACGCTCTTCGAAATCTCGCAAGAGTGGCTGAAGCCTGTAGTCCCCGTGCTGCCATAGAGAATCGAGATGACTGATCCTTGTGGTCTTGTGCCACAGCGTCTGTCAAGAGAAGCGCGACTCAAGGTTTAGAGTCGCCATGTCATGGTGTTCCAGGCGGTCAGCTCGATCATTTCCCGCAGAACACCACTTCAACGAGTGGATGAGACGTTCTGAAAATGAAAGAAAGATGCCTGGCAGTGCATTGTAGCTCCACCTGGACAAGCACGAGGTAGATGGAACAGCCGCGGCGTAGCAAGATATTCCCAGTTGATAACGCGATGCGGGTGTTGGACCAGCAGTTTACGAACTAATGATGTACTGTTTACGCCCCAATTCTAGAGGTTAGACACGGCGATGAATCGACATATGGCTGCGGATCGCGGTGATTGTTACTTGTTGCAAAAAGGGCACAAGAAATTAAAAAGCGCCACATGTCCTTAGGGGCACAGCCACACGGAGCACTAAGCACGAGCTGGCTAATTACATCCGCTCTAATAATATACGACTAGACGGATCTCCATAGTATAGATATAGTTTTATATTAAGACTTAGTATTATTAAAAAACTAAGTTATAGTATCTACTAAGCTACTCTTCTAAATAACTATATAATCTTAGTATAGTACTAAATATATATACTAACTACTATAAAGTAAGTATAGTATAATAGTAATAGTACTCTATAGACTATATCTTCTCTAGTCTAAGCTATAATATAAAAAGAAATCTACTAAAGATATTTCTATTCTATATATATATAAGTAGATATTCTCTATTATATATATAGACTTCTATATAATAATAATAATAATAAT